ATTCCTGCTACCGGCGCAGGAGAAGAGAAAACAGTTCGAGAAGTTAGCGCCGTAACACAACACACATCAAGCCTACACTCATAAACCCTAAACCCTCCGCAAAATCCATGGCGAAGTCATCAAAACGCAGCAGCAGCACCGACCCGAAGAAGAAGAAGAAGAAGAGCAAGAAGAACAAGTCGGGTCCCGAAGGCGTGGCCATGAAGGTGAAGGCCACCGCCACCGCCAGCAACCCCTTCGAGTCGATTTGGTCGCGGAGGAAGTTCGAGGTGCTGGGCCAGAAGCGCAAGGGCGAGGCCCGCCGCATGGGCCTGGCCCGTTCTCTGGCGATCCAGAAGCGCAACGAGACGCTCCTCCAGGAGTATCACCAGAGCGCCAAGTCCTCTCTCTTCGTTGACAAGCGAATCGGAGAGAACGACCAAGCGCTTGACGACTTCGGAAAAGCCATCTTGCGATCCCAACGCGAACGCCAGGTTCAAGTTTTTGCACAGTTACTCATTAGGATTAGAAATTAGGACATTTTGAATAAACTTTTCTGAAAGCACTTTTATAGAAGAAGCTTATTTCAATTTTGTTTAAGATAAAACTAAGATTATTTTGTGTTTAAGTTAATGTGTAGAATTTGTCTCATATTAGTTTCAGCTAAATGTTTTTATTTTTATTTTTTTTATTTTATGTGTAAGCTAATTTTAGGTATTGGAGAAACTTATTTTACTTTTTGCTTCTTATAAGTGTTTTTTAGAAGTTTATCAAGTTCTATGAACCGATTGGATACAAGTTAGAAGTTTTTTTTTAGAGCTTTTTTTATTAAAATTAAAGAGCTTTTCCCTGTAGAGGAGTTTTCAAAAGCACTTATAAGCTTGTATCCGAGCAAACTTTTGCTTACTTAAAAGTAGTTGCTGGTAAAAGTCAACAATCTTATGTACATGATAGTTTACTATACATGGCAGTTTATGATCTGATGACAGGGTAAAAAGATTTGGGGTGTGCTTGGAGAAGCATTTTGAAACCACGTCTTCTTTAATTTTCATGTCAAAATCTTATATTTATGCAGAAGCACGTCAAAATCTTATATTTATGCAGAAGCGAAGTGCTTGTTTGGTTGCACATTGTATTTTCCACATTTAACCTGAAGCTGATAGTTATGGCTTCCATGAATTTTTTGGACTAAATTGATGTGATTCTTGCATTCTGATGAGTTTCCAAACATGCAGTAAAACTAGTAGCTTCTAAAAATTCATGTCACTGTCAGTCTGCCTTCAAGATGGTTTCCAAACAAGTACTTATGCTTTGAGTGTATTTAAATTATTTTTGTGTAAATTTATTGTGGAAGAAATAATATATGCATTGACAGAATGAAAGTTAGACCAATGACCTATTCTGATTCACTGACAGTTAAACACTTTATTTTTTTTAACTCATTGTTGCTGATGTGTTATTACTCATTTTCATTTATCTTTCTTTTGGTGTTTATAGTTGAACATGAAGCTGAGCAAGAAAAGCAAGTATCACTTGTCTGATGGAGAGGAAGATGACTTTGAAGGAATTGATTCTCTTGGAAGAGATGATTTTGAGGAGGAGATGCTTCCTGATGATGCTGCTGCTGAAGCTGATGGTATGTTAATGATGTGTGATAGTTAGATGATGTTATGTAATGTACTTCGTTTTATGACTGCTGAATTGATGTCTTGAGAATATTCTGCTTTGATTGTAATGGATGTCTTAGATGTTTGTTGTGTTATTTTGTGTCTTGGATTCATGTTGAGTGTTGGTTTTACAGGGAAATTAGATTTGGTTCAGCATAACGTGCGGATTCCGGGGGAAATTAGTGCGGTTGACGGGGAGGAAAATGTAAGGCCTTTTATGCTATCGATGTTATTGTTGATACCCTTATTTATTTCTTCCTGTTATGATGGCATTATGCGTACAGGATATTATATATCATGCATGGGTTGTGTATTCTGTGAGTAATTTTTCTTTTGGTGATTATCTGAAATGTAAATATCATATTCTTGCTAAACTTTCTCAATTGTTGCTGTATTTAAAATTATTTGAAGTTGGTTCTTACTGGTGACTTCTTCTGCAGAGACATAAAAGCAAGAAAGAAGTGATGGAGGAAATTATCTTAAAAAGCAAATTTTACAAGGTGTGGGATATTTCTTTAATTAGGGCTATGTTAGTTTATTTGTCTTCTATATTTGTTCACATTTTTTTCACTCCAATATTCTCCAGGCTCAAAAGGCAAAAGATAAGGAAGAAAATGAACAATTGGTGGAAGAATTGGATAAGGATTTCACTTCCTTGCTTCACTCTGAGGCCTTGTTATCTTTGACTGAACCCAACAAGATGAATGCTTTGAAGGCTTTGGTGAACAAAAGTATTTCAAATGAACAAAGTATTAAGGACCGCATGGCTCGTCGTACAATGGATACTTCTATGCAGGTACTACTTATCCATGGGCCTTTTTCTTGGTCCTGAATAACTTTGTCTTATTATAAGAATGTCCTATGTTCCAACTTTCTCTTTATGGCAGGAAAAGCCTGATGAGTATGACAAACTTGTCAAACAAATGGGATTGGAAATGCGTGCTCGCCCTTCAGATAGGACAAAAACACCAGAAGAGATTGCTCAGGAGGAAAAAGAACGTCTAGAGCAATTGGAGGTATGATGCATGCCTTTTAATCTTAAGTTTGTTATTATAGAATTAATAGATTACCCTTACATGTAAAGGAGCATTTCCCTGCATTTTGAGCATTGGTTGAGCTCTGATCTTAGCTATATAGGCTGAGCTACCTTTTATAATGGTTTAGGTTGTTGTTATGGCTGAGGTGAAGGGATGGGAATGAACCTGGGACTGGTAACTAAATTCATGTTTGATGTTTGTATTTGTTTTTGGCAATTTTGTATCCTGTTTTAGATGGTGACTGTACCTTGGCACTTTAGTAAGGTTGCTGCCTTGTAACCTAGTGGTTGTTGGTTCTAATCATGAACAATCTGCACATGAGGTTATGTTGTATACATCTTTATTTTTACAGAGTCAACTAATAAATCCTTTTCTACATAATTTAAGGAAGAGCGACAGAAGAGGATGATTGCTGGTGAAGATTCAAGTGATGAAGAAAATGAAGATTCAGAAAAGCCATCTGAACAGAAACAAAGAGCCATCTCTGGTGATGATCTTGGTGATTCCTTCTCTGTCAATGAACAAGTTATGACTAAGAAGGGTTGGGTTGATGAGGTTCTTGAAAGAAAAGATGAGGAAGATTCTGATAGTGAAGATGATGATGGTGAAGATTCTGATGATTTCGGAAGCTCTGAAGATGCTGATGAAGGATCAGATGAGGATCTTGATGAAAACAAGAAGGATCTTTCTTTAAAAGACTGGGAACAAAGTGATGATGATGATATTGGTGCAGATTCAGAAGATGGAGATGAAGATGATAGTGACGAGGACAAAGAAACAGCTGCTGATGACCTTGATGCTGTTCAAAAAAAAGCAAAGAGAAATGTTTCTCTTGAAAGTGTAAAAAAAGATAAGGATTCTTCAGATGCCAAGAAGATAGATGTTGGAGGAAAACAGTCAAAAGAGTTGGACATTCCTTATATAATTCAAGCTCCCAATACCTTTGAAGAATTATGTTTACTGGTAGATAAACATTCAAATTCCAACGTTATTTTGATTATCAATCGGATTCGGAAAAGTAATCCAATCACCCTCGCAGCAGAAAATCGAAAGAAAATGCAAGTATGAAACTCACTCCTTTCTATTTACTTTTTGTTAACACCCAGCTGTACTCTTCATGCTTTTTTTATTTATGTATATTGAATCCATGATTGTTTTGTAAGCAAATGTGAAATCTCTTAGATTTATTCAACTTGAATATACTATTTATTTTGGTATTAAATTTGATGTTGTATTGACAATTAATGGAAAACATATCAAATACTAAAATTACTTCCCTCAACTGTGTAAATATTGGTTCCTGCTGGTTTCACACTTCATTATTTGAAATAATACCTAGCCTATATGTATTTTAAAATGTGTTTTATCTGACTCCTGCTGGTGCTGTAGTTACTGCCTATAGGAGATATGGTGCTGTTGCTGCTTACAGTGTAGTGATTGAAAACTTTTCCTGAACTGATTTGATTCAGATAATGACATGCTTTATGGAACTATTGAAGAAATCGCGTATCATTGGTTAGGTCAAACTAATGGTTTAATTATACAAACCAGTTGATGGTATTTTGTTTGTTTGCAAGTTCATGTGTCTATCTTCTGTTATAACTTCCAATTGTTCATTCATATAAATTTAAATGTGAATATTTTGGTCTTGAAAGCCATTAATGAAGATGTGTACTCTTACTCTATGGCTTAATTGCCTTGGTAACATCCTGTGATTGAGTGTTGAGCAGTTCAACCTGAAGGTCCAGTTTGAAATTCCATCCATGGGGATAAAATGGACATGTGTTATGCATAGCCAATTCTATATTTGAAATTTGTTTACAGTAAAGACTCCAAAGAGCCCGGGATTAAATCTGTAGCACTCAAGATTTAATAGAAATTGAAAGAAGAATTGGTGTAGAGATATGTAAAAGCCAACAGAGGGCTGATATGCTGGTTAACAATCAGCAAAATAAAGTGTCTTTAATGAAGAACATCTGATGTTCTGAACAATTCTCTTTCTATTGGATTGAAACCTGTTTTAAAACAAATCCTAACCATTTGAATTGATCTAATAATCCTAGTTTTTTTATTAACTTGGGTGAAAAGAAAGTGGAAGGTTGAAATAAAATATCAAATAAGAATGTTACAATAGAAAGGACTTAATGGAAGCTACAAAAGTTGCACAGTAAAGTACAATGGCATGAACACTGAACTGTAACTCAATCCTCTCCCCTTTTCTTTTTTGCCATTAACTGCTCCTGCATCAGAGACGTTAATCAAGATAGTTTATGGTACTATTGGTGTATTCATACATAGCAAGGCTTAGTTTGTACATGTATGGAATGTATGAAAATACGTAAAACACATGCCTGGTGGTGGTTCTTGTTCTATTGTAGTCTAGTCCTTGTTGCACTAGCATTATTTTTAGATGTAACATTTGACACTCGTACCTATGATACGCTGTTCCTAAATATTTTTTCTGGATATTGTGGTTTGTGATTATTATATGTCTAATTATATGGGAGGTGTTTACAATATATCTTCTGTTTTCAGGTATTCTATGGAGTATTGTTGCAATATTTTGCTGTTTTGGCAAATAAGAAACCATTGAATGTTGAGTTACTCAATATGCTGGTGAAACCATTGACAGAGATGAGTATGGAAATCCCATACTTTGCTGCAATATGTGCTCGCCACAGAATAGAAAGTACTAGAAAGCAATTCATTGATAGTATAAAAAAATCAGGTCAGAATGAAATCTGGTTGATTCGTTGTATTCTCTACATTATCTATCATTGACCAAGAATTGTTAAATGTTTTGGTAACACTGTCTGTAATCATTCTGTTGTCACAGAAAGTAGCAGTTGGCCTTCTTCAAAAACATTGTGCCTCTTGCGTTTGTGGTCCATGGTATTTCCATGCTCCGACTTTAGGCATCCAGTTATGACCCCTGTGATATTATTGATGTGTGAATATCTGGTGCGTTGCCCAATACTATCTGGTCGGGATATTGCCATTGGCTCTTTCTTATGCTCTATGCTTCTCTCAGTAAGTACATCCTGAGGCAAGATACTTTTGAGTTTATTATGTATAACGTGTTCACTTTTCATATGGCATCATCACTAATGAATTCTGAAAGACTATATTTAAATTCTATCATGGTGGCAGCACACCCAGTCTTCATGGAAAATTCCATTAGTGGTATCTGTTTCCACGAATGGGTTTAGCTTTTGAATGATATACTAAGATATTTACTGCATTGCTAAACTTATGTTTCCCTTCTTTTTCACTTATTACATTTGCTTCTTGCTCGCTCATGTACTTGATATAAAATGCAGGTATTTAGACAGTCTCGAAAATTCTGTCCTGAAGCAATAATATTTCTTCGAACATCACTTTTGGCAACTATTGATAGTAAACATATTTCAGATGAAGATTCCCAGGTATGATTTCTTCATGGATCATTTGTATTTTGAATCATATTATGTAGTGGGGGCATGTGTGTTGTGTGTAGGTATTTATTTATGTATGGGGACTACTAACCTCGTCCTGTGTTATAATCCTCCATTCTTCTATGAACAAAAAACAATTTTAGATATTTTAGTTCTTTGGTAGAAAACCACAATTTTAGATATTTTAGTTCTTTGGTAGAAAACCAAAGTCCTCAAAACTATTGCTAATATCGCTGTCTACTCTTTCCATTTATACTGTAACCCTCCTTTCCTCTTAAACAGTTTCTTTTGCTAGTGCAAAATCCACTTTTGAGAAAATGAGTGCATTCAGGCGGTTGCTATTCATTTTCTTGGGCTTTTCTGCAGATGCCCATACCATTACATTTTATCTTTTTCCTAGTCTACAATTCCAAGGCCAAATTTTGCGACTTAATTTCTCAACTATAGATAATAAATATGGAAAATGCCATTTTTCATTTTCTTTTATCAGTTCAATACTATGCTATTAACATAATAAATAGATATCTGAAGAACATTTAATGATAAGCGGAGTCTAACTATGCTATTAACCTAGATAGACACCACTTTCTGGGTTCAACATCAAGAATGTGTTGTAGTGTACTTATGGTTGTATTACAGTTGCATTGACCATATTATTTGTTTTCGTTTCCAGCTATATCATCTTATGGAACTGAAAGCTCTCAAGCCTCTCCTGTACATACATGAGACAGTGAATGAGATTAGCCCTCTAAATCTCTTCAAGATAATAGACATGCCAGAGGACTCTTCTTTCTTCACTTCTGTCGGTTTCAGGTAACCAATAGTTATGACCATTTATCAAAAAAGGAATAAAGGTTACCTCCATGTTCTTATATTTACTGTCTTGGTTTTGAATGGGGTCTTTATTTTTTAAAACAGAAATTATGTTAGGGAGGGGCGCAAGGATATCTGTGCTTGAGTGGCATTAAGTGGATCATTTAGATTCTGTCATAGCTATAGTCTTGATAATTAATGCTGGATGCTGCTAATATTGAAGACTTGTATCTTCAGAGCATTGATTGTTGATTCTTTTTGAAGGTTTTGTCATTTATCTTGACTAATTATGATTCTTTGATTACAGGGCTAGTGTATTAGTTACAGTTGTTGAAACTCTACAAGGATATATTAAAGTCTATGAAGGGTTAAGTTCATTTCCTGAAATATTCTCACCAATTTTAAGATTACTAAATGAGATAGCAGAACAGAAAAATATGCCAAATGCATTACGAGAAAAAATTAATGTAGTGGCAGAGCTCATTAAGTCGAAAGTGGATGAGCATCACACTTTGAGGCGACCGCTTCAGATGCGGAAACAAAAGCCAGTACCAATCAAATTACTGAATCCCAAGTTTGAGGAAAAGTAAGTTCCTCCTTTTCCCTTGCGTGCATTTGATAATATATTTCCTTAGCTGTGCTAATCAGAAAAGTAATACAAATTAAGCACTTATATGTCATATTTGTTCTGCAGCTATGTCAAGGGTAGAGATTATGATCCTGACCGTGAACGAGCTGAATTGAGAAAATTGAAGAAACAGTTGAAGCGCGAATCTAAAGGGGCTGCACGTGAACTGCGTAAAGACAACTACTTTTTGCTTGAGGTGAAGGAAAAAGAGAGGTCTATACAGGAAAAAGAAAGAGCAGAGAAGTTTGGAAGGGCTAAAGCTTTCCTTCAAGAGCAAGAACATGCCTTTAAATCTGGACAACTAGGAAAAGGAAGGAAAAGGAGGAGATAAAATTTATTATTTTCCCCATTTTGTTCAAATGCATGGGGCTTCACCTTCATATTAATCAGCTCAAGGAGTCGTTTTGGTGCAATCTAGCCTTTTGTAGTGGATGAATCATGAACATCATTGGAATATTTATGGTGGTTAGAGGGATTATAAGGTATAATAATCTCATTTTTGACAATGCTCTTGCGTTCCCAACGTAATCTTTTGGGAAGAAAGGTGTTACTTGTGTATTCGAGTTTGTGGATTAAGTGAACTGTAAACATTCCCAGCCACTTAGGTTGCACCAAGATAAAATTTTGCAAGTGAATTTTCAATTTAATTTGTACTCAATTTTCCTTCTTCAATGATACGGGTTCAAAAATTTCTGCTGCTAATGTAAGGAATTTATTATTAGGCAATATTAAGTATCTCAACAAGTATCTTGAGTTTTGAGGCTTGTCTTAACCATGGCTAACTTCTAGAATTTCACTCAAACATTTGAATATAAAATATAAACAAAACTTACAAAGATTACTTGGTTTCTCACAAGTAATTTTTTTTTTTCGTTGATGAAACAATTTTGTTTGAGCATAGTTTGACATTTTTCTCAATGGAGATTTAAATTTAAGTTCACTATGTTTTGGGGGACTAAATTTTCCTGCTTGACGAAATCTTGTTGGTACATATACCACCTTTATACAAATTATTTTAATTTTATTTGAGAATTTTTTGATTAAATATACTAAATAGGCATGCATGAATTGTTCTCTACAAGATTACTTGAACTGATTTTTTTTTTTCACGTTTTTTTTTGAAAAATATATATTTGGTATTGGATCACTCCATTTATTTTTAATTGTTATTTAAGGTATTGATATACATTAAGAAATATAGTTGTAACCGATAAAATAAATAAATAAAATTAGTATTCTTGTTTATAATTGGCAGATGCTAATGGTTATCTTTAAATCATTAATGATCCAAATAATAAAAAAATTGTTATTTGAGGTACTGATAAATCAGAAATATAGTTATTATTTTTATTTGTAATTGGTGAAAGCTAATAATTATCCTTAAGGCATTAGTCAACCAAATAAAAATTTAATTGTAACGAAAAAAAAAATTACACTTGGAACACATTATTATTAATTATTATCATTATTTTTTTGAATAATTAAAAATATTTAATAGAATGTGTTCAAGGCTCCTGAATGGTCAGCACGTTAAGTAAAATCGGTTTTATCTGTTATAAAAGAGAGAAAAAGTTGAGAGAATAAACAAGATAATAAGAGATGGAGAAAATAATCTGACTGATGTATTATCTTTAGGAGAGGACTAACCTATTTATAAGTACATGTAATTGAACAATTACACAATAAAGAGAATAATACATAACGTATATATAAATGGTAATGATTGATAATGAATATTGGCATCCACTAATTAAGCCACTAATTATTATTCATAACACTCCCCCTTGGATGTCCAATATTTAAAATGTACCTCGTTAAAATCTTACTAGGAAAAATCCTATGGGATAAAAACCTAGTGAAGGAAAAAGAGTACATCATTCATAAATATTTATTTCTTCTCCTCATGTATACAATCTTTAAGACGACGGAGTCCAATCTTGTGCATCAATTGTTCAAAAACTTTTCTTGGAAGTGACTTTGTAAAGAGATCTGCTAGGTTGTCACTTGAGCGGACTTGTTGAACATTTATATCACCATTCCTTTGAAAATCATGAGTAAAAAAGAATTTTGGTAGAATGTGTTTTGTTCTATCTCCCTTTATGTATCCATCTTTCAATTGTGCAATACATGCAACATTATCTTCATATATAACTGTCGATGTCATTTTTCCAGAAAATAAACCACAAGTTTCCCGTATGTGTTGAATCACAGATCTTAGCCAAACACATTCACGACTCGCCTCATGTAATGCCAAAATAGATAAAGTGGCTGATAAGGTTTGTTTTATAGATCGTCATGAAATGGTTGTATCACCACTTGTAAACAAATATCCTGTTTGTGATTTACCATTATGAGGATTTGACAAATAACTTGCATCTGCATAACCATTTAGTTCTGGTCTGGGAACATTTGAATATAATAACCCTATATCCATTGTACCTCTAAGATAACAAATGATTTGTTTAACTCCATTCCAATGTCTTCGTGTAGGTGAAGAACTATATCTTGCTAACAAATTAACAGCAAATTCTATATCAGGTCGTGTATAATTAGAAAGGTACTTTAATGCTCCTATAACACTAAGATATGGTACTTCGGGACCAAGTATTTCTTCATCTTTTTCTTGGGGTCTAAATGGATCTTTGTTAACATCTAAAGATCTTACAATCATGGGAGTGCACAATGGATGTGATTTATCCATATAAAACTTTTTAAGCACCTTTGTTATATAAGCTTCTTGATGCACAAGAATTCCATTTTCTAAGTATTCAACTTGCAGTCCTAGACAAAACTTTATCCTTCCTAGATTCTTCATTTCAAATTCTTTCTTTAAGCAATCTATTGCCTTTGAAAGCTCTTTAGGAGTTCCAATGATGTTTATGTCATCTAAATAAACTACAATTATGGCAAATCAATTTCCAGATCTTTTTATAAATATACACAGACAAATTAAATTATTTTTATACCCTTCTTGTAACAAATATTCACTAAGTCGATTATACCACATACGACCTGATTGCTTTAGCCCATATAGGGACTTATTCAACTTGATTGAATAATCTTCTCTAAAAATTGCATCGTTAGGCAAATTAAATCCTTCTGGGAGTTTCATATAAATGTCAGCATCAAGAGAGCCATATAAATATGCTGTAACTACATCCATTAGGTGTAAATTAAGTTTTTCATGTACAACCAAATTAATTAAATATCGAAAAGTACTTGCATCCACTACAGGTGAATATGTCTCTTCAAAATCAATACCGGGTCTTTGTGAAAAATCTTGAGCAACTAGTCTTGCTTTGTATCTCACAATTTCACCATTTTCATTTCGTTTTTGCACAAAAACCCATTTGTATCCAATTGGTTTTACACCTTTTGGTGTACGTAGTACTGGTCCAAAAACTTTTTTTGCTTAGCAAGCGAGTGTAATTCTGCCTCAATTGCATCTTTCTATTTTGGCCAATCATTTCTTTGTCGACAATCGTTGATGGACTTTGGTACTTGATCCTCAATATCATTTATTACATTTAGCGCTATATTATATGCAAACACGTCATCAATATTAACATTGTTTCGATTCCATCGTATTCCATTCATGACATAATTTCTTGAGATCTTTTCATTTTCAATAATTTCAGGTACCTGAGTTTCTTCTGGAACTGAAAAATTAGTTGTCAGAGGAATCTTTTTGAGTTTTTACATCCTCAATTTGGTCGTTTTGCTCTTTAACTCCCTTTTTTATTTGAGGGTTCTTATCCTTGGAACCAATTGGTCTACCACGCTTCAGGCGTATTTGTGACTCGTGTGCAATATTAGATTGTCCAACAGGGACTGCGACTCTTATTGGAGCATTAGTCGCTAATACATATGACTTAGTCACCCTTTTTGGATCTATGAATACATTTGGTAATTGATTGACTAGATTTTGCAAATGAATTATCTTTTGAACTTCTAGTTCACATTGTTTTGTACGAGGATCAAAATGAGATAGTGATAATTCATTCCAACTAATATCTTTTTCTAGCTATTTGGATTCTCCCCCTAATGTTGGGAAAATCAACTCATTAAAAAAATGGGATATGAATTCACCAGCATTATCCAAACGAATTTTCTTAATTGGATAGTCAGGAAAATGAGCTCTTAATCTAATTAGTTGAGCTAATAATCTCGCAACCGCTTGGTTGCGAATTGATAATAAACAAACATTTTACCATGTTATTTATTTAGCAATTAAAATCAGAAAATATCTAAATGATCCACATGGGGGTGTATTGGTACACAAATATCACCTTGTATTCGTTCTAAAAATAAGATAGATTCAACCCCAATTTTTTGCTGGTGATGATCTAATTATTAACTTCCCTTGGGAACAAACAGTACATGAGAAAATATTTGATTGAAGAATGTCCTAGTTCTTCAATAAATGTCCACATGAATTTTTAATTATTTTTCGCATCATGATAGTCTTAGGGTGACCCAACCGGTCATGCCAAACCTCAAATTTATTTTAATTTGTAAACTTTTGGTTTACAATAGTATATGTTTCAACTGTATTAATATACATGCAATACAGTCTATAGGAAAAAATAAATAATTTTTCCAATACTTCTTTTTTATTTAAGTGAAGTTTCGTGATATAAAGATATTCTACATTTTCTTCATTGTTTGTTTCAATATGAAACTCATTTAAACGAATATCCTTGAAACTCAATAAGTTTCTATAAGACTTAGAAAAATATAATGTATTTTTAATATGCAACTTCGTGTCTTTCAGTAATAATATATTAGCTCTTCTGGAGCCTTCAATTATATTTGTAGTATCATATAAAATTAATTTCTCGCATTATTGAATATGAGAAGACAAATATTAATACATTAGAACATTCACTTCAGGGAATGAAATAATGCTAGTTAAAATGGTCTCTTGCATTAAAAATTCTCAATATTTTATTTTAGTCTTCAAGAGACAATACACCAACTAAAGATATTTCTTAATTTTTATTTTATAAAAAAAATTGCTACTGCTGGAGCAAAATAGATGTATTATATTTTTCAAATTGAGAAATCATTATAAAAATGACATTCTTATTATGTATTTTGAGACATCAATTATATCAATAGGATTTGAAACCAAACCCTTTAAGATTCAACAACGTAACACATGAGTTCAATTACATGATAAGTTGCTTATTTAAATCAATTTAATCATGAAGAATATCAAATTACAGATGTAGGAAAACTCATAATCTTTTCAAGAAATCACACAAAACCTAAATAGGCTTGAGAACACGCTTTGCTAGTCATAATTTTTATAAGTGCCTCAAATATCATTCAACATTATAATTATGACATTTACAAAATTATTTCACTTCCGGTGAAGACCTCATTTATATCAAAAGATCAAATATATTTATATCAAAATTTTCACTTCTGGTGAAATTTTATTTTATTTTTCACTTTTCATATTATTTTCTCACTTCTGGTGAGGAAAATATTCTTTTATTTTCATTGTCGTACAATTATCTCACTTATAGTGAGAAAATATCCTTTTATTTTCATTGTTGCATAATTATCTCACTTCCGGTGAGAAAATATTCTTTTATTTTCATTGTCGTACAATTATCACACTTCCGGTGAGAAAATATCCTTTTAGTTTTTATTTTTGCACAATTATCTCACTTCCGGTGAGAAAAAAATGCTTAAAATTTCTAAATTTGACAATGTCTTCTGGATCATTGCAAAATCATTATATGTGTATATATATAACATTTATGGAGAATTATACAATTTTACAACACATATCATTCACGAAGAATCATTCAATTTCAAAAACAAAAAAAAAAACAAAATTTGTTCTTTCGGTCTCATTTTTTTTCCATCATTTTCCCACTTCTGGTGAGAAAAAAAATAAAGTAAAAGAGATTGAACATTCTTCTTTGATATTGTCTTCTAGACAAATTTAAAAAATGTATGAAGAATTTCTTTATTTAATAGTGTCTTCAGGACTACCATAATGTCTTCAGGAGTATTTGATTCATAACAATGTAAACAATACAAATTTTTGATAAAATCTTATTATGGAAAATGAATAGCTAACCTTGAAATATTTGTCTTAAAAAATATGACCTTCTTCAAGAAAATTCTTCTTTATAGTTGAACACCAATAGCGGAAAGACTATCGTGCTGATAACGTGATATAAAAGAGAGAAAAAGTTGAGAGAATAAACAAGATAATAAGAGATGGAGAAAAGAATCCGACTGATGTATTATCCTTGGGAAAGGACTAACTTATTTATAAGTACATGTGGTAACTGAACAATTACAAATAATACATAACGTAAATATAAATGGTAATGAGTGATAATGAATATTGACATCCACTAATTAAGCCACTAATTATTATTCATAACATTATCAAAATTATCTTTTTTATTTCTTAATATGCCTTTAACATACCGTTTAACTTATTAACTATATCTATTATTAGTGTTTTGCAAACTTGAAATCTTTAAAACTTGTGTGGATATGCTGAACTTTTAGACGACATTCTTTAAAGAATCATTAAATAGAATTTTTCTTTTTTTATTATTGAAAATTAAGGTGAGATGCATTAGAAATCACGGTAAGGCTGCACAGGTAAAACTTTCATAAAATCTTTTTAAGAATTAAATATATTTTTAATAATTTAAATTTAAAATAAAAGAATAAAATAAATTAGAATTCTTATTAATAAAAACATCATATTAAACTTAATATTAAACTTAATTGTTGTAGAACTGATTCAACTCAATCCTATTAATAATGTTGTAGGTGGTCTAAGAGATTAATTTTTAGGTTTTAAAAATCAGGACTAAATATATATTTTAAATTTTCGGATTAAAAAAACTTACCTAAAAATTTTAAAACTAAAAAACATGTTTAAACTATTTCTCTACTTATGATTCTTTAGTTAATTTCTTTATAATCATGTTATCTATACTAATATATAAAGGGAATACCATTTTCGATAATTACTTTGGTCTCCATTTTTTATTTATTATTATACTCTTCTGTTTTAAAAAATTAGAAAAAATATTTTTTAATCAAATTTAAGAACTTGAAACTAATGAAATAATCATAACACTAATTAAATCAATATAGTGAAGTTATAGCCTTTAAAAGTAAAGACTTAAATATATTTTTATTTCTTCAAATTTTAAATAAATTTATTTTTAGTCCATTAAAATTAAAATAGATTTTTTAGTTCTTATAATTTAAAAAAAAAAACCTTATTTTAATCATTATATTCAAATTTTGTTAAAAAATATGTCAAATATTATTGTATAAAATCTGTTTACTGAGTCCTTAGTAATGAAAACATCACATTGAATGTAATTGATATTACATAATTGTCTCAATTTATCACTTTTAGATATATTATTAGTGATATCAGATATAAAAGACTAAAATAAGATTTTTGAAAATTGTATAAACTAAAATCAATATTTTTAAATTTGAGAGATAAAAATAAATTTATCCTAAATTTAAATGACTAAAAACATATTTAAATAAAAAATAAATTATAGATAATAAAAACAAAATAATGTCTATAAATGATTTAAGTAAAAAAGAAAAGAAAAGAAATATAATTGATGGAGTTGATATGTAAGAGTTTGGAAGTTGTAGAAATAAGGATGAAAATTGATTATGTCATATATTTTTTAAGAGTTAATCACCTATACACTGTCAGTGTAAAATTTTTTACACGGACAACTAATTATATCTTTTAATTGTACCATGTCACTGTTAAAAATAAATATATTTACAGTGACATGATACAACTAAAAAATATAATTGATAGGCAGTGTAAAAAAACTTTACACCAATAATATATTGGTGACTAACTCATTTTATAAAGGGCCAAGTTTGAGTTCTTAAATAGAAGATATAAATATATCAGTCTTGCAAGACGTTAACATTATCTTTTTAAATACTTATATCAGCTTGAAAGCTTATTTAATTATGTGTGTTTATCCAAAAAACCTAGCTCAGCCAATCGAGCAAAAAACGTTTGTTACTGTAAATATCCTGGTACTGAAAAAAAAAACACAAAGTTGCAAATTTAAACTATATGTATCAAACATTCACTTATGAACTACTGCATGAAAGGAAACAAGCAGCAAGTTTAAACTATACGTAGCACGCATTAATTCACTCATGAATGAATAAGAAACAAGTAACCAACAATGCTAAAATTAAATTCATAACCAAACCACACTTCAGTCTCATCAAATACAATAAACCTAGTGCAACAGGTTGTGCCAAACCAAGTCACCTCCCCTTCTCAAACAAAACAACAAAAACCAAGCTATAAAATACTAAAAATAGTACCATAACCTTAAGGACAAGACTTAAATGTAGTTTCCTACTCAAGTTTTGTCTTAAGAGTTCATCTCCCTTGTCTATTTGCGCAATTTACGAAAGTAATCTTTAGGGCTACGTTCAAAGTCTTTCCTTAACATGCGATAGTTCCTCCCTGGAGCCTTCATTGTCTTCCCAGAACCTTTGAAAACCATCTTCCAAAGCACACGAACAACAGCAATAGCTGCCACAGCACCAGCAACACGTAACAACGTGTCTCCATCCGTTGTAATTTCTCCAAAAAAAGTTTTAGTATTAAAACTAAATTTACGCTGAGCGAAACTTTCGACTATTGGATTAATCTTTGTTACTAAATAATAACTTGTGTAGGACATGGACCTTTGAACCATTGGATTAATCTTTGTGGCTAAACAACATGTCTCGGACAAGTGACAACAACCTTTGAACAATTGGATTAACCTTTGTCCATAAATTACTTATCTCCGACACCAACCTGAAACATTAAACTCATGAAGGTTAAAGTGAATGAACTATATAGAATTTGATTAATGGATCAATCCACCAAATAGTACTATGTTTTGTTCTGTTGGCTCAAATTTGGGTCCTCAAATTTGACCTGTATCATTGCACGATTTTCTTACAACAGCATAACAACAGAGGAAGAAGAAAAAATTATTGATGCTTAATAATTGTTGTCAGTATATAAAAATTTCAGTAGAAAAAAATGTGTATTGACAAATTCATGCATTTGCCATATAGTGCATTGCATGTCTTGACAAACCTTTGCTTATACTATGAACTTCGCCATTCAAAGTTCCACCAAGTACATAATATAACAGTAAAAGATCAATTCTTTTTTGTGTAAACAATATCCGAATATACTCAAAGATTTGGAGACCAACATACAAATTTGCTGCCCAAGCAGCAGACTTTACTTGTCTCCTAACATGCAAACTTTTGAAAAGAACTAAACTTGTATTTGTAAGATCTAGAATAACACCAAGTTGAGAGTTAGCTCTACAACCTCCAAAAACTTCATCTATAACTATTTATAATTAGATAACAATGTAAACTATTAAGACATTAATTATTTATTTAATTTTTTATATTATCATCCAATAATTACAGGATATCAGGTGCACTCAGATTTTTAATTTTAATATTAATACCTTAAAAGTCATTCTTAAATAATTTGACTTAAATATATTTTTGTTCTATAAAATGAAAAAAATTTGGTTTCGGTCTCATTAATTTTTTAATTTTCTTATTTTTCATCCCTTTAAAATTTTAAATTATTATTTTTAATATTTCTAAATTTTTTTAGAGGCCTTTAAAATAAATACTATTTATCCACTTCAAAATCATCAGAAACAAAAATAGTAATTTTAGGTTTTTGAGAAATGACAATAAAAACATAATATTTTACGTTGATTAAAACTAAAATTTACCTACTTTACAAGAATCAAACTATTTTTCAAAGACAAAAAAAAAATACTTATAAATTTTAGAAGAATAAAAAATAAAAAATAATATTAAAATACACTCATTAACTCTTAAGTTAGGGTATTTTTTTTTACGAATTTAAGAAAAATCTACAATTCTTTTATATAAAAAGGAGTTATATCTTTCACTCACAAGATCAACTTATTTTAAATATAAAATAATACAAATATTCATTCACGCACATTTCGATATACCTGCAAATGATTTTCACTAACATCCCATCATATCTTCATATACTAGGAATTTGCTGTTTTCTAAAATAAAATATTTCAAAAGAATTTAATTACCTTCTGAGTATGTATTCATAGTTTTATAAACTTTTAAAAAATTTCAATTTTAGTTTTACTATATATAACTTTCGTGTTTTTTAATTTTTATAATTTCACAAATTCCATCTCCTAATTCCTAAAAATATTAAAAAATGTATAAAAATTAAAATAAAACATTTTTAACCATAAAAAATAAAAATAATGTAAATGAAACTATTAAAAAAAAAATCAACCTTTTAAAAGTATAGCCACTCACTATGATATTTGATTGATTCAGGTATAACAATGTGCATGGAAAATAACCAGAAAAAGAATAAAAAAAACAAAGAAAGGAAGGAGAAGGGCGTAATGTTACCAATTGATGAGACGATCCATGGTGGGTTTGAGAGTCTGAGAGAGTAGACCTGATGAAGGAGAAGAAGAAGAAGAAGTGTGATCGACTATTTTTCTTTTTCAAAGAGTTGCGTCTAACTCACGAGTGGTCCATTGTGGAGTATATAAAGTCGCAACTTAATAAGAAAACAACACTAGTGAAGTGACCCCTTGTTGTCTTTCGTGGAAAAAAGTAAGTTAATAAATATTAGGTTAAATACTTATTTTGGTCTCTTATAATCTTTTTTTGTTTTAATGTAGTCCTACTTTTATTTTTTGTCTCAATTTGGTTCTAACCTAATTAATTTGTTTCAATTTGGTCCCTAATAAATTAATTAGTTTCAATGTAGGACTTCTGTCCAAATTTCTTTAACAGAGTTAATTATTGGCCACGTGGATGTCACCTAGATGCATAGGTGGATGCCACGTGGATGAATTTTTTTTTGAAAACACCTGGAACCAGAACGGCTCGTTCTGAAACCAGAATGGGCCGTTCTGGATGCGCTTTGGCTCATGATATATACACCTCATTTTTTTTATAAGTACACCTCCTTCTTTTAAAAAATAAAATATTATAATTTTTTTAAAAAAATTTAATTTTACACATGTTTGGACTGCAATGATCATATTATGTATGGGAGCAGAGCAGGGATAGGTGGGCGATTAGTGGTGAGTCTTTAGCGGACCGGTGGAGCTGATCTCTTTTGTGATTATTTTGTTGTTAAGCTACTTGGGGTAGTAGCACTTGATTGTATTTTCGTACACTTTAACTCTATTCAGATTGGATCATGTATATGTATATTCTAGACTCTATATGTATACACTTGTTATTTTCTGTGCGGTGTTTATAATGTGATGTGCTTTATTATTAGCCAAAATTTATTGAAAATCATAAATTTTGAAGGTTTTCATTACAAAATCATGAAAAAAGCTCATTAAATGAGACGTGAGACTCGTCATTAATTGTGAATTCAATTGCAAATGCAAAAAATCTTGTTAATGTATTGTTTTATATTCTTTAAATGTTTATAAATGATGAAAAAGGTTGAATTTGCTACTATTTTATGATGTTTGTGGCAAAAAAAGGAATGAAAAGGTTTAATTCTCGTTTTTAAAAATAATGTTTGACCAATAAAAGTTCCACACCTTACGAGAGTAAATTAATTCTTAATTGATAGTTTTAGACACTACATGGACTATATCTACAAATAAAAAAAAGTATGATGTTTATGGCAAAGAATAAATGAAAAGGTGTTAGATGATATTTCTAAACCTCTAATAATTTCTATCAAGAGAACAAATGACTAATTTACTTTTGACAATAAATTCATAAAAATAAACTCCACCAACTAACAATTTAAAAGAAGATGAATAGTGACAAAATCTCATTTTCACTCTTTAGATTCCTTGCATCTTGTACGAACTACAAATATGTTATATTTTTAGTTTTAGGGATGAAAACTAACCATTGGAAGTATGTCAACATCTCACTTGAATTTTTCAAAATGTCATGTGTAAAGTAGCTTATGATACTATTCACTAAAACCATTTGGAATCTTGGTGTTGAACATTTTTTTCCTCTTAACGATCATATTATATCTCTTTGATGCCCTTCCATAAGTGTCACAAATCTCAAATTTGGAACACATGGCCTTAGCAAACAATTTTATATCGATTAGAAAGTATAACTTAGCACTTTGATACAATCAAAAAGTTGAGCTTAACATATTTTTAAATTTTTTTTTTTTTGACTAATAACTTTTTATGTAGGTCAAGTATCATTTTGATATGTATTGCTACACTTATTAGAAAACATGCTTAAAAGAAACTACTAATTAAGCCTTTTTGATTTAGCTTTATCAATGATTTTATTAATAACAATTTTAATCATCAAAGTGAACCAAGTGTTTGTGAAATAATTGAGAAATAAAATGTTTGATTCACTTATGCATTATATAGTTAAGAAATGCTATAAAAAATATTTCTTTATTATTAGCCAAAATTTATTGAAAATCATAAATTTTGAAGGTTTTCATTACAAAATCATGAAAAAAGCTCATTAAATGAGACGTGAGACTCGTCATTAATTGTGAATTCAATTGCAAATGCAAAAAATCTTGTTAATGTATTGTTTTATATTCTTTAAATGTTTATAAATGATGAAAAAGGTTGAATTTGCTACTATTTTATGATGTTTGTGGCAAAAAAAGGAATGAAAAGGTTTAATTCTCGTTTTTAAAAATAATGTTTGACCAATAAAAGTTCCACACCTTACGAGAGTAAATTAATTCTTAATTGATAGTTTTAGACACTACATGGACTATATCTACAAATAAAAAAAAGTATGATGTTTATGTCATGCAAACATGGGTAGAAGCCCACAACTTTATCTCCCAAAATCAATAAATCAAACTACATAACTTCAATATGCAACTATAGCATACATGTCTCTCAATCCCACCCATAATTCTTGTCTCCCCCTTGGGGTCTGCACATGAATACGCTTGCACAATTGCTTCTTTCTTTTCCATAATAGTATGTTGAGTGCAACATGAACAAACTACATTGTTCTTCCATACTTTTCGAATAAAGGTGAATGATATTTTCCATTCTTTTCTCTTAACATCATTACATCCATGGTGTTGCATAACAATTCATGACAATCAATCACATATTTGTACTAATGCACATCAACAATTCATTGTGGGTCTCCATCATGGAGCAACCTTCCAATCATTTAAGTTAAAATATTAACTTAAATATGCCTAAATATTACTTTCGATTCTAATATAAAAAAATAATAAAATTTAAGTTGATTACTTTAAATTAAAGTTAAATTATTTTTTTTAGTGTCTATTTATTTTTAAATTTTAATTTAATTTTATTATTTTTAAATTATTTAATTTAGTTTTTAAAAAGTTTGAATATGTTTTTAATTTTTGTGAAATAAATATATTTTGATTTTAATTTCTTTAAAAAGCACCTACAAAAGGAAATCTAAAGGAGACCAATGGAAAGTGTGTGGAGTAACGGTCGGAGCTATGAGAGTGCATAGTACTATGAAATTATCATCGGTAGCGAGATTGTCACATCTATAGGTATATATGAGGGATAAGATTAGTGAGATAAACCGTAATCCTTGTAGGTTGTTAATTTATGCTTATGTGAATGATCTGCAATGGATGTTACAATATAATTGTGGTTGTAAATTTGTGAGTAATTATGATGAAATTGTGTAGATGGATTGATCTTATGATGAATTGAATTGATTGAGGGTTAGGGTTTGTGATTTGGAAATTTTGGATTGAATGGATGAACTTGAATGTTTTGATGATCGTATGTTGTTCAATGTATGATGTATAATTTGTTTTATCGATTAAATTGAGTAAAGAGATGTACAAATATGTGTAGAGAAAAGAGAAATACTAAAAGGAGAGTTGAATAGTATTACTAAAAAACTTTCAGTTTTTGCAAAGCTATGAAGTAGTAACATAATAGATATAAGAGGTAGACAAAACAAATAATGAACTCAAAGATTTATGCGAATTTGTCTCAACTATTGAGACTATGTTCAATTCTTGATCCAACCAAATCAAGTTCCATTATCGTATCAAAGATATAAGTATTTTTTATCAAGCCATTTTTAGCTTAACCCAAGGTATTCTTTGAATTCCTCTTCAAACAACTATCCAAGTATTTTTTATACATAAAGTCTCTCCAGGTTTCAATATCGAGTATTCTTTTACAGATAAGTCTCTTTAGGCTCAAACCCAATAACTTAAAGTTACAAAGGTTTAAAAAGTTGTTTTGTTTTTCTTTTAAGACCTGATGCAATAGGTTAAGTGCAAAGATGATTACAGAAAGAATGAATAAATAATATATTGTCCTCACGTTCTTTATGAATTTCAAACTTCCTTTTATAAAACTTTAGTGAAGATGACCGTTACAAATCTTTGAACTTCTTTCTCATGACTTGCTTCATCCGTCTTCAAGATTTTATTCTTGAGAAGAGAACTTCTTTTATAAAACTTCCTTTTTATTTGATCAAAGAAGCTACTTATCACCTTTTGACACCAAGTAGGTATAGTCATGCGTGTGTTAAGATGTTGCAATGATGAAACAAATTTTGACTATAACTTTATGTGTTTGTAGAGATATGCTTGTCCTTTTCTAATGTAAATATTGTCTTTCTTTTCTTTTTTGTAGAACGTTGGTACTAAAAAATATTTTTAAATTCGATCTGTTAAAGGAAATATTCAAATGTAATCAATTTCTTATTTAGAGATTGTAAATGATAAATATTTAATGCATATATATTTTTATGACTAATGGTTCATCTTATTCATTAACAGAATAATCTTAATGTAAGGTTTTGAAGAATCTAAATCGTGAGATTTGCAATTTTGTGAAGTGCAAAATCTGTGGTAGCATTAGGCGTGCCCTCATCGTGTCGGGTGCAAATGCATAATTCTTTGCATTGGATGTGAAGAGGTAATGTTAGAAGCGGGGATGTATGATAATACTATGTATTTTGTATGTGTGTGGCAACTTGGTCATTTCCTACATCAATAATTAGAGTGAGATATGTTCTCATCTCCCTTTTTTCTTTTATGTCTTTTTTTTTTATTGTTTATGCAAGTGACTTTAATCCAAGATGAATTTGAATTGTTGATGGAATTGCTATAACAGAATGTGACATTGGAACTTTAGATAAGGATTATTTTCTATTTAATCGCATTAGGAGCTTTAGTTTCTTTTCTTAAAAAACATTTTCGCATTAATTGATATTCCTTTTAATTGTTTTAGTTTTATTCTTGTTATTTGTGGATCTTTGAATATGATATACCTTTTATCCTTAGTTTTCAATTATTATATATATGAAATTTTTTTATATTATTATTTTATGTATGAGGAGTATATGATGTCACATTAAATATGTTTTTAGTCCTTACAAAATGAGTAAATTTTTCTTTATTTTTTTAATTCCTCAAAAATTTGAAACTTTATTTTTAGTCCTTACCACTACTATTATGTAATCTTTTTTAACTGCTCATGTGTTTATTAGAAGGTTAACTGACCATCTTATATGGTGTATGACACCTTTTTAATTTTTTTTTTATATAAATTC